CAGGAGAGCTGGGGAAGGACTTTTTACTAGGCCATGTAGTGATAGGATGAGGGGGAATGGCTTTAAACTGGAAGAGGGCAGGTTTAGATTAAACATTAGGAAGAAGTTTTTCACTGTGAGGGTGGTGAGGCACTGGCACAGGTTGCCCAGAGAGGTTGTTGAGGCCCCATCCCTGGAGGTGTTCAAGGCCAGGCTAGATGTGGCCTTGGGCAACCTGGTGTGGTGTGAGGTGTCCCTGCCCAGGGCAGGGGGGTTGGAACTCGATGATCTTCAAGGTCCCTTCCAACCTAAACCATTCTATGATTCTATGATTCTCGCTCTCTACAGCTCTGTGAAAGGATGGTGTAGCGAGGTGGGGTCGGTCTCTTCTCCCAAGGAACAGGCAATGGGACAATAGGAAACAGCCTCAAGTTACACCAGGAGAAGTTTAGATTGGATATTAGGAAAAAGTTCTTCACTGAAAGGCTTATGAAGCACTGGCACAGGCTGCCCAGGGAAGTGGCGGAGTCGCCATCCCTGGAAGGATTTAAAAGACGTGTAGACGTGGTGCTGAGGGACATGGTTTAGTGGTGGTTTTTGCAGTGTGAGGTTGATGGTTGGACTAGATGAGGTTAAAGGTCCCTTCCAACCTAGACGATTCTATGATTGAGTCCATCTATCATAATTTGCAAAAAAAACCAAGGAAATGAGGATGTATCCACTGAAGCCGCTAATCCCCCCGTGCCCTACCACAGCAGTGGCTGCTGTAGAGCCACTCGTCTCCCCTTCTTTCAGAGCAGATGTGGTTAGAAAGGGGTTTTGTTTAAAATCTTGAATACTTCTTAACAGGAGAGAGGTGTGTTCGCATCCAGAAATGGCTTTTTCTGCGTTCAGCTTTTTTGGTGCAACCCTTTTTTGTTAACTTCTTTGGTTTAAAAGCGAGTCTTTTGTTCAGCTTGATACAGCGAGAAATCCGCTTCTCAATTTCATAAGTGCTCCTAAACCAAATCCTAACCAAAAGATTAATGATTAGTTAAAATTATGATTGTTTCCATGTTCTTACAGCTTTAAAAGATACAAACTAATGTAAGTAGGGGCAAAAAGAAAAGAACTAAGTGAGAGGTATTGCCTTTCTAAGACTGATAAAGGGATAAAATGCCGATTCCGTTCACCCCTGGAACTCAAAAACCACTTCTGATTTCAGACCTTCTCACAGGTATTGCTTTTGTAAATATTTACACTTTTGGGGTTGGGGTTTGGGCCATGCCAACTTTCAAGGTTTTCAGAAGATGCTTTTTGCCACAATTGAATTGAACGGATCTGCCTCTCAAACGTCACTGCTGGTGCGTGGGTCGATCTTTGGCCTTTTTATTCTTTTTAAATCACTATTTTCTGTATCTTCACTGAAGTAATGCGGTGCATATTAATATATTTTACTTTTTTTCCTCATTTTCTCAGCTATATGAACGGTATTTACAGTACATGTTAATCATTCACCTGAAGACGGCTTGCACGGAGAAGTGGAAACTCCACTTGGCTGAGTGGCTTTGGCTTTTCCCGTGGGAAATACTTCCCAAGCTTGTCCGATCCCTTGGTCTCCGTACCTAATTACGTGGGAAAGCCTCTGCATGTGGCTGTGTCCGTATGAAGATACTACGTATCCATATTTCACATAATAAATTTTACTCTGATAGCTTACTTACTTTCTAAAAAAATCACACTTCTTCTAAATGGAATTAAAAATAGTAGCTCCAAAAAGTCATTTGAAACAGGTTTAAAGTCACCTTCGCAAATAGTTTTAAAATGAAAATGGATGCGGGTTTGGGGGTTCAGCTGAGTGAAAGTTCTAGTCGTTTGTTTTCTGACTTAACATCTTCATAGAAAGATGTGCAGCATCTATCTAGAATAGTGAAGTGCAGCAGCATGTCAAAACCCACAAAAAAATACCAGTATCATTTCAGCACACAAAATTGTGTACATAATAAGGATATTTGTAAGAGGGATAAAAATCTACGTAGCCCCAATTGGCATTTTAATTCACCGTATGTTAGTTCTTATGTAGTCTACTGTGCTTCAACCACTACAGAAAAAGCAATTTCCCTCTAATTTTTGCTTAGACCCATCTATTTTTGCTGGTTTTCCTTGGTTCCCCAGTGCTGCTGCTAACTTGGTGTGTCGATCCAGGCAGTGATGCTGAAATAAGGCGCTTCTGATCCCCATGGAAGGGCGAGAAAGGAGACGAAACTTTGCTCGTGGCACAGTAACTTGCTACGAAAGAAAATGTTGTGAAAGGAAATCATAGAATTGTCCAGGTTGGAAGAGACCCTTGGGATCATCGAGTCCAACCATCTGCCCTACTCTACAAAGTTCTCCCCTACACCGTATCCCGCAACACCACATCTAAACGGCTCTTAAACACATCCAGGGATGGTGACTCAACCACCTCCTGGGCAGCCTATTCCAGTGCCCGACCACTCTTTC